AGACAGAAATTCTTAGAAACCGCCTTTCTAAATGTCTAAATGTCGCTGTTTACGTCTTTCGCTTATGACTCAATATGGGAATATTTCGTTCAAACAAGAAAGAATTTGAGGCATCTACAGTTTTACCATGTAAGGAAGAGTCATCTGAAACCCCACGTGGGATTCTTCATTGAGGGCGAACTAGGGTGACATTTAAACTTACAAACTCACTCAGGGATGAGCTATGTTTGTTAAAGGATGCTAGTAACCTAATTCGATCAAATAATGCTATCTCTGCAATACCTCGCACAATGACTGTGAGGTAAGCCAATCGATTGGGGGTAGTTAGATTATCAGAGCATCAGGATTTAGCTAAGTGTAGCATGATTGACACCACGAAGATGACTAACTTCGAAAAACACTCAGCAATTGCAATGCATGCACTAACACACAATAAGGCGGGACAGAACGATAGTTCTATATAATAATATATGTAGTTGGAGGGAGAGGTTGATTACTCAGTCATTGTTCGTCGAATCAACAACACTTAACACATGCAATAGGAATGATCCACCACCAATACCTGTGGAAAATATTACTACTAATAAAATCAGAGGATAAGAAACAATGAAATTATATAAGCAAAGTTGGAAATTTGTGTTAGTGTCTCAATATGATTACTGGCTATAAATTGTGTTTGGGACGTCACTAGTGAATAGTAGTGTATCACTGTGTGAATTTATCAAATGAATTTACCCTATGATGGAAGGACAGAACTACGATATATACATATATGCCTGTCAGTTACTTTGTTCTCAAGAACCCAGGAAAATTTATATCCACTCGAAGAAATTATAAATTATAACTGATAAGTTACCCGCTGGACAATGAAAATTAATCAATTTTAAGATATGGAAAAGAGGAAGCGCGATCACAAAAACCAAAACAGTCACATAAATTTAGTAATAATATGCAAACTGACTAAATTATCAATGGATAAATTTGCACAAAACACGTCAGTTTAAGATGTTACACTTCAAAAATGCTTAAATAAAAGCAGAAAAAGAAATGTGATAAAACTAATGGACGACGATCCATGAGAAAGACAAAAAGTAGATGAAGTTTAGGCAGCACATTTAGAGTCAAGAATAAATCAAGAAATGACTAAATTTAGACCACTGTAAGCTATTTTGAGCCATATCATCAATAGTCTCCAACCATTGGTTCTTTTATTACCGAGGGCCCCACCCAGATGATATATACCCTTCTTCGTTGTCCAAACCAAAAGCCAGAGACTCCATGGGTTGGTACTATCATTTTATTTGGCCAATTCTGACACCTTCACTCTAGTCCTGTTCCACCTAAGATCAATCTCGGAACGTATAGCTCACCATCTCAATCAAATAAACTTCTCTATTCATCTTTCCTCCTTATCTAATGCTCTACACCTAACCTTATTACTGCTGTCCACATTGTTTCATACAACACGGAAAACTGAACGGAAACACTCATTGTCAAAAACTACTCATATTTCCATATTTTTAACCTTTGACAGTGCTGTCTTACAGCCCCAAAGGATGGGCAAAATAGCTGCAGAGGACACATGCCCTGTGCTAACTAGATAGATATCCCGCTTGCTCTATAGATAACGTAAGTTGCCAAATACCAAATGAAGCTTTTGTATATATGCTGAGATTTCGTCAACTTGGAGGACTATCCAAACAAGTGAACTTATCAACCACTTTACTACTTATAACCAAACTAGTGGACTAGTGTTACTGCATTACACACGACATGGGCAAGTCGTAGACAAAAAGAACTTAGATTTTTGCTTAAGGTGTTCAGGGATCTGAATTCTCCAGGGTATTCACTAAAAAGCACTATTTCACCTGTGAACCCCGGATCAAAGTGACTTACTCTATTAACAGGTAAACCCATAAAACCCATAAAAGATGACTAGGGCCATTAGTAAAGCTCTAATGAAACTAAGTACGAGAAGTGACGTAGCCATCCCAGAAGAACATCACCGGTTGTTCTCACTTCGTATGTCAACGTTTTATAAGCTCTTGAGCTACATGAGTCCGAGCATTGTCTTGACCAGTACAATACACTCCCCCACACTCCATTCGTAACCAGATATTGCCACAGCACCTCTGGATTGATGGAATTAAATGTTGTCAGGTCTCCTTATGAAAAGAATTGTTAACATACTTAGTATTTGGTTACCTTCTCTTTGAATATAGACTTCACATTCTTATCAAAAGGCGGGAAACGTAAGAACTTCGCAGCTCCTTGTCTTCTACATCCATTGGTTTGTGGGCATGCAAATACTCGAATGAATGTATATTTGGACCAATGCAGAAGGAGTGAGAATCTTCTATCAATGACTTATAACTAGATAATTTATTTATGTTTATCGTTCGTTCAGCATTGTTCACCAGGTGAAAGAACATCTTTCGATTTCTTAGAAACTGGTTTTGGCCTTGGGTCTCATCATAACCAGAATAATAACCAGTAAGACTTCTTCCATAGCATACTAAGTTTGGGCTTCAAAATCAATAATAGTTTGCATTTAAAAAGTTATCTTGTTGTTTATTTCGTACTCTCTATCATCGACATGCAAACTATTTATTTTCATAATAATGGTGAATTACATGATGAAACAATACAGCGAGCTAACTTGATCGTACCGAATTTGTAACCGTATGGCTCCAAAAGGTCAGTGAATGTAATGGATACAGATGGTTGTTTACTCAATTTTGACCAACTGGATCACTTCTTAACATTAAATGTATACCTAAACATTAGGCTCCGATGTTATAAGGCAAATTACTTTTACCAATATTGTGGTAACTGATGTGGAAACCGATATCCATGATTACAGAGGTCATGAAGGTTCTTGCGGTAGTTACGTAAGCGATGAAACAAGAAAACGCTAATATGGCAAACTAGGTGCGATCGTTCAATTTCAGTGACAGATCTTTATTAAGATATCGATAAAATCCAAAAAGACCCTTTCTTCAAAGTCGGGAACGCACTTTCCAATCATCACTTTCAAAGTGACTTAATGCCTAAATAAAGTAACAAATTCAAAACTGCTGTCACAATCAAAGGTGAAATCAGTAATATCATTACCCATCCTATCCAATGTGAGGCATACTGAAAACAGATTAATTATAATAATAATAATTTGCTTTATTCCAGAAACAGTACTAGTGGTACAGTGTGGAATTTTCAGTGCATATCTACAATATTTGCATCTATTTTTATCAAACATTTAAAGGAGTATTTCAAAAAATAAATCTAAAGACAACAACAAAAAAAACAAGCAAACACAAAAATTATTTTAAAAAATGCGAAAAAAAATACCAAGAAGTAGAAAGGAAAACAAACAACACAAAATAATATCTCAGTATAGGTTAGTGGAAGCTATGATATGATTATGCATGGTGACAGTACAGCTGTAGTCATACAAAGAAGTTATGAAATATTTAAGAATGTTTATCGCCAAGATGATCAGTTAATTTAGGTTGAAACAACACTAAACAATCATAAAATAACATTTCAGGGTTGTTGTGTTTTTATCAGGTCTAATGCGATGTTTGTAGTGATAGTGTGAGTACTCCTGCATAATACAAAATTTTAAGATGGTGATAATGGCTTTCACAACCATTGTCAGTTAATATTGCCGAACAAAAAAAAAAAACAGTAACCACAAAAACTAAAAATTACATGATGGTTAATGACAGGACAATTTTGTAATACTCGTAATGCTAATATAGTCGGAACCAGTAGATTCACAAAAGAAGGGATAGAGTAAAGTACAAAAAAGGAAGCCAATATTAATAATTTAGGTAGCGAAGTATATTTAAGAAGGAGTTCACTATAGAATACAGAATAAGAGAGAAATAAAAGAGCCGAAAATTATGTTAATGATAACAAAGCAAGTCATAGGTTTCGTGCTTAACATTGTCTCTGTCACTTAGAACACGGGCCAAGTATGGTATCGTTGAGTTCCTGTACTTGGTTGTAAGAGCATAAATTATTTTATACTGATTTCTGGTTCTACTTGATGAGATACAAGGCGAGAGTTGGGAATAGAAGGGTGTCGGGGGTTGGAGAGTATGATTTTAGATCACTTTTCGCATGTATTCAGACGCCTTTCAACTAATGTAGTGACGAGCTGACTGAGTTTTACACCAGTAGTCCTACTAACTACCTTCAATATCCTTCTCAGGATGGTGTAGTCCTTTTTCAGTAGCAGTAGATAGGTAGAATAGGTAAGATACAAGAGTTGACAAATTGTGAAAGTAGAGGTTGGGTGATTCCAGATTGTCTTAGTTTCTTAATGTAGTAGGTTAGACAGAACACTTTCTCAGAAATCGTTAGGATATGAGATGTCCAAGTAAGGTTGGAGGATAGAACTAGACCGACGTATTTTGCATTAGACTTAGTTTCAATTTTAGTCTCCTCAATGCAACAGGCTTCATGAGTACTTACTAGTGTTTGTAGATCTCGTTTATGCCTAAAGGAGAAGTCAATAGTCTGACATTTTGAGGGATTCAGCATGAGGCCATTTAGTTTAGACCACTGACTGATGTCCGACAGGAAGCTATTTAATTCGAAACAGTCTGACCGAGACTTAACGGGAAGCGAAACAGTCAGGTCATCTGCATATTTGGCGAAGTTGATTTCGTCTGAAAGAGGTAAGTCATGTAAGAAGAAGGAAAAGGGAAACGGAGAGAGAACAGCACCCTGAGGAACTCCAGCTTCAGTAAGCAAAGGAGAGGAAGATACATCATTATATACCGTGTACTGCATCCTATTAGAGAAGTAAGAGCGCAGCCAGTTGATAGCCCAGGACTCAGTTCAGATCAGATACTCAACAAAATTCAGCTAGGTGAAGAGACTATTACAAAAGAATATGCGCAATAGATCCAAACCACCCAACTACATAACAAAATTCTATATTCCTATTACTATGGGTGCAAATAAACCGCGCACACTTATATAGGCACGACGATCACGAATATCGATCTTCACATCATCTCCCCATTTAGCCTAAGATATATATGAGAAAGCACACTGCTATACCCTGTGCCTATCTGACCAACATAAATATATTTATATTCAATTTAAGTTGAATTAGCATTTATTAATTCAAGGTAAAAATCTGTACATTTTTATTGACATGCCTTGCATGTTAGTCACTATTCTCCTTATCCGTATCAGTTTCAGTTTTCAAAAGTTCCGAATTATCTAAACAGATTTCGACTTGCCGTGAATTTACATCGGTTGACTTATATTCCAGATTTATTGGAATATCTGTGACTTCGTTTAAATCACCCGAATACCAAGTGTTTTGATAGGAATTATGAATATTGTGGTTAGAATCGTTCAGTAGTTCATATAGTCGGGCACTCTGCATAAGAAGGTTAGCACTCATACGTAGAGATGTTGATAACAGACTTGTGATGGTAACAGCTGTTGAAGGAATATTCAGGGGCGTTGTTAGTGTTGATGTGAATGCTGTAGATGTTGTTATTTGTGAAATCGCAGGCATAAAATAACTGGTTACACCTGGTGAACTGGTTACAGTCTAAAAAGTAAAGTAATATCTTTCTTACCTCTTAAAGCTTTAAGAACAAATTCGTCATAAAATTCATGATAAGGTTTAAGAATAAACCTAAAACGCTATACACAATCTAATTTTCATCATATAATAAAAGCTAATTATAAAACACTTTTTTAAAAGAAACACCACTGACTGATATGAGTAACTAGAGCCGATTCTCTTCAACCAGTATAGCTTCGCAGGCTGGCTGGATTCAACATAGAACGTGGCACCGAAGTGCAGCAGTTCGAGTTGCCACGTTCCAAAGAGCACACAAAGGTAGACAAGAAGATGAGTGAAGAGAATCAATAGAGTTTTGACAGGTATGAAAGTGAAACAGAATGAGTAATGGTAGAAAGGAATATGAAAGATTACAGAGACTGAATACATCTGCGTAAGCCATTGACAACGATTTTGAGCCATGTCACCTAGTGTCTCCAGCCATTGATTCTTAGAGTCCCGAGGGCCCCAACCCAGAAGTCTGCATCTCCCTACCTGACTCAGTTTAACTGTTAAGGATTTCATGGATTGATTGATGCCATGTTTTTGTTTGGCCACCACTTACTCTTTTCCAACCTGCACCTATATCGGCTAGTAATGCCCAGCGGGGGAGGCGATGGTTAGGCATGCGCAGCACGTGACCTAGCCATCTCAATCTATGTAACTTTATAGCCTCGTTGATTGATTTTCCCTCTTTGCCGAACACTCTACGCCTAACGTCAACATTACTTACTTTATTATACCACCTAACGCGAGAAAGAGATCGTAAACATCTGTGGTCAAAAACAGTCAACCTTTTCATGTCTTCCGCTCTCAATGGCCACGTCTCACCACCATAGAGAAGGACGAAGCGAACTGCTGAGCAGTACACACGTCCCTTGGTTGATAGCCGGATGTCACGCCTACGCCAGAGACGGTGTAAGTTAGCGAAAGCAGCCCGACCTTCGCAGGAAGATTACGATGGCCCAAACCTTTGAAAATCATTTCATTTGTTCTAAATAAAGCTTAGGAGTTGAAGTAATAATAGCCGCTGGAAAACTACAAATAGAAGATATGAATAAAGATTACGGGTGGCTATTGTAATTATTGTATTATAGGTAAAAGCCTTCGAATTATCGTTTTCCTCCGGGTATCTGTACAGCTTCAACTTTATAACACTGTTAGCACGGTGGCTTCGGCATCTGTAAACAATGAAGGGAATCAAAGGAGAATACCAAAGGCATTAGTAGCAGATGGCGTACGTTAACTATTTCCGCTCATTACGAAAACGGACTCAAGAAATACTTCAGTAAGTGAAATTATCTCCGGAGAAGATGAAATTTTATTGACTTCCCCAGAGAAGTATATGGCTAGAACGTCGCAAACAACACTTCGAGTAACAGATCAACTGGCCTACATCACAGCTGTCTTTTGTACAACACCAGCTTGAAGTGGATGTAATCAGCAGTCTTCCAACTGTAGACAAGAATGTGAAATCATGGTGTTCAAGGATAATACTGATGAATTATTGACCGAAATATCGCCTAATGTATGGAATTCCGAGATAATTCGGCCGAGCTAGTGTTGATCATTGATTGTCTCACTTTTCTTAAGGCAAGAAACAAACCATTACAAGATAATCACAAAACGACAGCCTTTATTAATGTAGCATATAAGATTCTAGATTCTATGGTCTTGGTATGACCAAGTGAAGCGAGAGAAAACTAGGAGAGCCTCAAAAATGGACACAGGCACATTGGCACTGTATTTCTTAAGGTTTTTTCTTCCTTTTTGACAAATAAAATATCAGCTCAAAGTGTACAATAGTGGCGAATCAACTAGTTTGGTCACAATATTTCACCATGGAATACGAACACAACGATGAGTTCAATTTCCTAGATCTAAATGTAAAAAGAAGAGACGATGGAACGGTCGAAAAGTCCATCTACAGAAAAGAAACTTGGACCGGACAATACCTTCACTACAACAGCTTCTGCTCTATGAGCTATAAGCGGGGATTAGTAAGGACACTGTACGACAGGGCTAGGAAGTTATGTTCGTCCAACAAGATAGAAGAAGAATTAAGCTTCGTTGAAAAATGCCTTAAGGAGAACGGGTATCCAAAAGGATTTATCCAAAAGTACAGCAAAGAAAGAGATGAGAAAGAGAAGCATCCAACAGTTGAAAAGAAGAAAGTATTCATTTGCCTCCCATACAAAGGAGAAACAGTATCGCGAAAGATTGAAAAAAGGATGAAAGGAGCAATCAAGAGATGCTTCCCTGCAGCCAATCTAGTGACACTATACAGTACTACATGCTCTATAAGCCAATCGAAACTGGATAAATACCCTGCTGATGTTACCTCCAACTGCATTTATAAATTAACGTGCACCTGCGGCAGCAAGTACATCGGAAGGACAGAAAGAAGGGCTTCTATCCGGTTTTCAGAGCATATTCCGAGAAACTTATGCTTAAAAGGAAGCAAATATTTACAAAGTGCAATTACCAGACACCTTGTGGATACAGGCCATTTTGTTGAGATTTCCAAATCCTTCAAAATATTAAACATACAAAGGACAGCGAATCTACTACGATTTGCTGAAGCAATTGCAATCAAACGCTTCAGACCAAACTTATGCACACAGAAAGAGAGTGTAGTCAATCTCTCACTCCCTTGGTAACCATATCACTTTCATTACAGTGATTACTCATAGACACTAGTGAGCTGAACTCACTAAGCAAGTTTTCAAATTGATGAACTTTGACCTTGTTGAGTTGCCATGTTGACACTGTTTATTAGATTTTTCTGTTTTCTGTCTTCTCTCACCCCTTTTTCTTTCTTTTTTGCCATAGATTGATAGTAAATAAATTGATGGTAACTTAAGCTACAAAAATTTTAATCCTTATATTCCGGATGCGTTTATCTTAAAATGCTTTCTGTATTACCTTTCAAACAATGAAGTATGAAATGTTATTAATTATAACCATTGTAATTTCAGGTAGTTTGCAGCTGATGAGAACCTGTGAAATAGAATGATATCATTTTATACTGCAAATCTGGTCTTTCTTTCTCTATCGAAATTTATCAAGGGAACCAAATGTATGAGATAAAATTCAGTTTGCTTCAACACAAAGAACTTGACACATGATACGGTTTACACATCCCTATGACCAATCAGTGTATCCATGAAAGTCCTTAGTGCTTAGTGATAACGTCTATGACTGCAGCACTGGGTGAAACGGGTTATTTTTTTTATTGCAGCTTGATTCCACACCGTATTTTTGGTACAAGTATGTAATTCTCAGCATGTGATATCGATAGTCCAAATTTCGCAGGCCGACCATTGATATCAGGTGTGCATCGGCAGGCGATCGAACCCCGGACCATGTGCATGGTCGGCGAGAGTCCTAACCACTGTGATACCGACGCACAGAGAGGACGTCAGTTCCTTCAAGGTTGCAGATACTCTTTGCTGGTGGGTGTCAGGAAGCACGAAACCTAGATCCACATATCTCTGCAAACTGTCTCCAGTCGCCTAACATTAAATAAAATACCTTTATTGAATATTACTTTCTGCAACCCTTAAGATTTTGATTCTAATGATTAGTAAAGTCATTTGCACTCCATTCCACTTGCAAGGCTTATTTCAGTTTGCCACCTCACAATTTCATGTTGCACATAGATCTTTCACTGAAAAAAGTAGACTGGTTGAGAGGATACTGTATGTAAAATTGCCGAAGGAATACTGTGGCGAATGATGAAATGAAACCTATGAAACATTTGTGAGTGATAAAGGGTGAATACATTTACGCTAAATCATGACTTCGTCATTATCACTTAGAATATATTAAAGTCGTGGAATGTATGTACCAGAATAGGCCGAAAGAACATCTCATACCAATATTTTTACGCACGCCTTTTTGATAACTAGTTTCTGAAGAAGTATGAAGTTGTTTTGTAATGAACCTATAACGAGACGTTTTCGCTAGACCCTGTAAAAAACATGATGGGTACCCGTTTGTGCCAAAACCTTAAATTATTTTAATCGATTTAGATAATTTTATATTTGAATTGAAAACAGAAATTCAACTGGGATGGGAGTTTGTAATATTTCCTGATTTTCTGACACGTGGGGGTAACTCCATTATGGATAAGATTTTATTTTGATAAATCACACACAACTTTTTGCATAAAGTTGTGTGAGTGACTTGATATGATTATGAGCAATAATTTCTGCTCGAAACGTCATTAGTTAATATTACTGTACAACAGTGTGATTTATCAAAATAAAATCTTATCCATAATGGAGTTATACTCTACCATAGTGTCCAAGTTTTATTCTTATTTCAATAATACGTGAAGGTAACCATATGCAATACAGGAAAAGAAATAGGGCCACTATAAGCTAACTTTTCGCCGATTCATTTTGACTTTATATTTTGATTTTCCTGTCATTAATACCAAAATATGATTAATTTATGTTCATTTTTGCTTGTTTCATTTTCTGCAATGAAATTATCTGAAATTCAGATTATGGTTAACATCAGCCCCAATATATAATGGAAAATTATGTCGTCAGTTTTGATTTGTGTACGTGAAGTGGTTAAACCACGACAGTGATAAAGTGTTTCAATAATACGAATGAACACTGTCAGATGCCTACTGGAAAGTATTCTTTATCCTTATGATAACGCAAAATACATGAAAAAGTTTGTGTGCGTAGACAGCTTATCAAAAAAAGAAGACTAACGTATCTTTACACTTTACACCAGCAATTAACAATATGTCTGTTAACACTACTCACAACTGTTACATATTTCATAGCCAGAATTGTCATCAGTACAATTCAGGGCTCACCTCGGAAACGGTCTACCGATGTAATATGGTTGTGACCACATAATCATACACTATCTAAATATATATATATATATATATATATATATATACATATACGTAAATGTATTTCACCTAAATGAAGACTGTAGGACGAATCAGTATTTCGTTT